CATGGTTGTAAGATCTTTAGATGTTAATAAAGATCCATTTAGACCCCAAGAAAAGGATGAAGAAATACTTGGTCCTGAAGTACCATATCTTAGTGCTATAGGAGCATTAATGTACCTTGCTAATTATACACGACCTGATATAGCAGTTGCTGTTAATTTGTTAGCAAGATATAGTTCTTCACCTACACAAAGACATTGAAATGGAGTTAAACAAACCCGTCGTTATCTTAGAGGTACAATGGATATGGGGTTATTATATTCAAATGTTCCCAAACCAGAACTAAATGGTTATGCAGATGCAGGTTATTTGTCAGATCCTCATAATGGTAAATCACAAACAAGATATTTGTTTACAAATGGTGGTACAACCATTTCATGGCGATCTGTAAAATAAACCATATCAGTCACTTCATCTAATCATGCTAAAATTTTAGCATTACATGAGGCAAGTCGTGAATGTGTTTGGCTAAGATCTGTGATTCAACACATACGGGAAACTTGTGATTTATCTTCTGGCAAAATGACATCGACAGTTATATATGAAGATAATACTGCATGTATTGCACAATTGAAAAATGGATACATAAAGGGAGATAGAACAAAGCATATTCTACCAAAATTCTTTTTTACTCATGATCTTCAAAAGAATGGTGATATAAATATTCAACAAGTCCGCTTAAGTGACAACCTAGCAGATCTCTTTACAAAGTCACTTCCAAGAAAAGTTTTTGAGCAATTGATACACAAGATTGGACTCCGTCGTCTTAAAGATTGTATGCATGAGGGGAAAGTCTCATCCAAAAAGAGGTAAAATTGAGACTTAACACTGTTGCAATAAAAAAATCAAGTGGGCTGGTGGGCTGCCCGGCCCACCACGGGTTCAGCCCAAGTGGGCCGGGTCAAAGTGGGCCGGGTTTAAATTTACCCACTTATCGTAAAACTGTTATTTATTTTGGCCCGGCCCGGCCCGTTTTCAAGGTGGGCCAGGTTGGCCCACGGGCCACGGCCCATTTTGACAGCTCTACCAATAACCAGGCGGAATACGAGGCACTTCTCGCAGGACTGAGGCTAGCTCGCGACCTCGGAGCTCGAAGAGTGAGTTGCAACAGTGACTCGAAACTCATGGTGGAGCAGCTCAGTGGGACGTACCAGGCGAAGGACACTATGCTGCAGCGGTACTTTCACACTATGT